ATTATTAACATTACCCCCTCTCATCGAAATAATCATTTCCCTATAAAGTATATATATATATATATATATATTTGATCAGTGTAAAATTTATTAAAAGTACTCTCCCTCATCGAAATAATCAATTCCCTATAAAGTATATATATATTTTTGATCAGTGTAAAATGTCGATTTAGGCATGTCCGCTTGTCAGTCTGTCTGTTGTAATCACTCCAGCATCAAAACGAATTGAGATAGATCCCCAAAATTTAGCATAGAGCCGTCTTTTGTCTGCAGGCAGGCCATTAAAAATTGCTGAAATATATATTAGGACTCTAATTATCACAAGATGTGCTTTTTCATCCGCGAGGATGAAAAAGCCCGTAAGAGGGCTGATCACAAAATGAAACTTTGTTTATTCAATAAAAACTGTCCTATCTCCATTTAAAGAAATTCCACTCACATATAATACCTTAGTTTAAATTTTTCTTTTATCTTTTTTTCATCTCGGTGTCTTCAGTTTTGGGATGAGTAACAAATCAACGGAGACAAAATCCGGGAATAAGGTGGTTAAGGCATGTTAACATTTGTTTTTTGGTAAAAAACACACGTACAATGGTGCAAAAATAATATTTGGGTTTTCCAAAATTCTAAGCCCAAACGCCGCGTTACTTCAATATTATACTATTATACTCCTCATTGACCATACGAACTTGTGGCATACGACCTTGTGGCCTTTCTCAAAACCTCTTATACGCATAATAGACTCGCCAAACTCCGCGGTCTTCATTTCTTCACTCAGATTTATCACTGAACTAATTTGCGTATGTCGAGTGGCCTACGATATATCATAGCCGAATTCCTGAACCAAACATGGCTCAAGCATATAATCAACATTTTATAGTTTTTAGTAGTCCCACTTGTGGATTCCACTTAATTTGACTAATTTCCAAAAAAAAATCCCGTATAGTGTCAGGTTTATCAGAACACCAATTTATTTGTTAGAACATGCTGTATTAATGACCAAACCTATAAACTAATTTTCCATGGCAATTCTAAATTATATATGTACGTATATGTACCGAAATTGTATTCAGCATTATTTATACTCTTTGAGAATTGCCTTTCCAAAAGTGACCATTTACATTCGGCAAGAACCCACTTGCAAACAATTGTGTCGACCACAGTCATTTGTTTGAGTTACTAAAACCTTTGAATAAAATCCGAAATAAAACAAAAACAAAAAAGACCTAAAGTAAACAAAGTAGAACAAATGAAGTTTGCTCTTTTTTTTGTGGGTTTCTTCTTTGGGGTATTAACGATAAAAAGAGTTGTTGGCCTTAAATGTTAGCATTGTTCTTGTCATTGTCGTTGGTTTTTTAGCAAAGTAAGTTATACAATACATACACACATACATATGTAAGAGATAAACATAAGAACTAAGTATATTGTGGTGTATCGTCATACCAAACTTGTATCGGCTGCATATCTCTCTCATACACAGACACACACTCACTTATAACATGAAATGAAATTCATTGAGTTTGTGTTAGGTTAGCAAATCCCTGTTGATGTTAGGTAAAGGGATCCTTCGACAAAGCAGAAAAAAACACAAAAAGACTTACTTCAGCCATATTGGTGATACCGTAAATGATATGTTGATTTTTTAAATTTTAACAAAAACACTTGGCAAACACAACCTTTTCGTTTCCCATGGCTACACTTGTAACGGAGGCCCTATGGCCTAACATTTTCTGTTATCTTTTATTATTGTGTTGATACTTTTGTCGGTCATAGTTTAGATGGTTTAGTATTTTATTTTTTTCTTCTTTTCGGGGGCCTTTGTTATCCCCATGAAATGTTTACTGTTTGTCTGGGATTAAAGTTTGTGTTCCTTTCCATTGCCATTTTGTTGGCCACCTTTTGTCGACATTCGGAATATTTTTGGGGTGGCCAAAACAAATTCATGCTACATTGCAAACAATTCGGAAACGGACGGTCAGGTTAAAAAGGGATTTTCCAAATAAATTGTTGTACTTTTCCCCAAAGGTTTAAGTTAATCAAGGGCAGCCAGAAAAAGGTTCACCCCCCATTTTTCTGCTTTGTGTAGTGCTTTTTGATTGTTTGTTTTCTTAAAGTATTATTATCCAAAAAGATTTGCAAGATTACCATTCCAAGAATAGTCATGTTATATGAATGGAATTGCCGTTTGTAAAATCCTGTTGCTTTTAATAATATTTAAAATAATATTTATATTCCATGAAAAGTCCCAAGAATATTTTATATAATTCCTAAAATATTTATAACAATTATATGTTAAAATGTACCAGAGCTTCTTACATAAAAATATCAATGGTATTATTATGAAATACATTGTATATCCCAAAATAATTGTTATATTTAAGGTAAGGTAAGGAATTTTAATAAATAATCGTAAAATGCGACATAATTAAGAGAAAACTGAAATATTAATGTGGAAATTGAGAAAAGTTGCTGCCAGACTTAAGTATATAGACTGATGAAAATATAAGCGTTGTTATAACTTATATAGGAAATTACTTATTAATTACTTATTTATCAATAACTATATTGGCCCCTTCAAAATAATGCCCTCAAATATAATTCACATATGTCAGTTTTTTTTCATTCATTGAATAACTTCTGAAATGCGTTTTTTATAACCAAAAACGCTAAACGCTTCCCTTTCATCAATGTCTTCAGTTTTGGGAAGAGTAAACAGTCACCGGTCCCAGTCGGATTTTTTCCACATAAATCTCAACACTAGGATATATATGTGAGAGGGTAAAGACTAATGATTTGGAGTCGACTTACAAATTTCCGTCTATTTAAAAATTAGTTTGTGTAAAATATTAAAAGATGGGACTTTTCGGTCCATTCTTTCCAGGAAATTCGCCACAAAGTGTCAATATTTTTAAAATTTGTAATCTCATCTGAATCGAACGAAATTTCATCCAAATTTTACTCATCGTAATATTTATTTCTAAGTCCAGATCAGGTCTGAAGATAAGACTCTTCGTTACACTCCAATACTAATTCCACATTTCATGATTCGCGCTCTATATTTTCACTCAAATCCAAATTTTACCAAATTTAGAATACATTAATATACATTTCCATATCAACCTACCTCAACAATCCAATAGAAATCGTATTTTCAAATTGCAGGATTCCAGTTTGGTACCATTTAGTACACATTTCCAATACTTCATACATATCCCAACCCTGCACTCTAACAGCAATCTTTATTCCAATTTTCAGGATTCTAGCTCGATCCGATCACCTAAATCCAACGAATTTCTATGTATGTTTTACAACCAATAGAAATCATATTACACAATTTCAGGATTCCAGATCTATCGGTTCACCCAAAATCTAAATCAAAGCAAATTTAGTACACGAATTTCTAAATCTGTCTATATCACAAAACCAATAGAAATCTTATTCCCAATTTCAGGATTCTAGCCCAATCGATTCAACCAAATCCAAACTGTACCAAATTTAGTAACGTTCAGTACGAACATCCAAAACTTCCTACATACCCCAATCCTACACCCCAACAGTGACCCTAACTACAAGTGTCAGCTTTCCAGCTTTATCGGTTAACTAAAAATTCAAATTGTACCAAATTTAGTAACATTTAGTACACATAAGTACGATTTTTCAATGCCACATATATAATAATATATATAGATTCCAGACCTATCGGTTCTTCCAAATCCAAACTATACCAAAATTAAGTACCATTTAGTACGAATCTCCAAAAATTATTGCATACCACAATCCTACACCCCACCAGTGATCCTGACTCCAAATTTCAGGATTCCATTTCCATCGGTTAAATCAAAATTCAAACGGCACCAAATTTATTAATAGTTTGTACACATTAGTAAAAATTTTCTCAAATTTATAATGCAGTAGTAATCTTTTTCCAAATTTCAGTGCTCCAGCTCCATATAGTACCATTTAGTACTTTTCGTACACATAAGTACAAATATCGAAAACTACCTACATATCACAATCCTTTTAAAATTTCAGGATTCCAACTCCATTCGTTCCGCAAACTTGAAATTGTACCAAATTTAGTACCGGTTAATACTTTTCGTATACATGAATACACTAAGAGTGACCCTCACACCAAATTTGAAAATTCTGGGCATAGATGAATCGTTAAGTCAGTCAGTCTGTAGTCATCTAATCAATGTGCTCTGTTATTAATATAGACAAATAAAGGGCTAATGCAATTATCCGTTATGTAGGTCCATCATATGTAACTTCCCCACAAACTGTCACCCCAGCCCGACAGACCACATATCCAAAAACACCCCTGTGCAACTAACAAAGCTACTAGGCCTCACTCACTCAAATAAAGATATTCGATTCTTGCTGTTGTTGGACCGGTCAATGCAGAGACGAATGTGCATTTAAGTGGTTATTTCTTAAGAACAAAACAAACATTACATTTCAACTTTCTTTCGAAAAGAGGGTGGGGGAAAACTCAAGTTTATTTATAGATGAATGTATGTAAGTACGTGTATGTGTGTGAGTGAGTGCCAGTATTTGTCAAAGTCCTTCGAATGGTCAAAAGTGTAAAAGAAAAACCGATTGAATTAAAACACAATTCATGATAAACAAACACACTATCTCTCACACACACGTAAAAGGCTTCCTCACCGGGGTTCTTCAATCTTCATACGCCTCTTCTATCTCTCTCTGTAAGTTCTTGAATTGCTGAGTTGAGTAAATATTATTCTTTAATACATTCTGCTACTTTGCCATCAATTTCCATTTGCAATAACTTGGATCCCGTTTTTTTCCTATTTTCTATTTACAGAGTGGGCGAGAACGGTCAATGGGATGAAGTGCCACAAATACAAACAAAATCAAATGTGACATCGTATCAAGTCACCGGTCTGGTACCCTTTACCGTCTATAGCTTTCGTCTGAAAGCAGTCAACAAGCTGGGCATTAGTCCTCCATCCAAAGAATCCTACTACATAGTGACCTTGCGTGAGGGTAAGTAAAAACATTACAAAATGGAAGAAAACAAACACCAACAACCGACAAGAAATATGTATGTCATCATAGATTCTAGACGATACATTTAAGGTTAACAATGGGAAACAATTATCCAAGTGAATGGCTTCCGGTTATTTTTTTTTTTTTTTTATCAAAGTGTCTTAAATGTTTGGGGGTTTTATAAGGTAATGTATTGGTTACATAATAACATTGTTTTTATATTAATACTATAGGATGGTTAATCAAATAAAATATTAAAGGTTGAATGATGATAATTTTCAAATGTTCAACTGAGTAATGACGGGGTATTGTACAAAAATTATTGAAAATGTTATATCAATTGATCACTTTATTTGTTGTAACAGAAAACCAAAATTTGTAAAAACGTGCTTAAGTTAGAACCTGACGAACATTCACGCCATCCACCATATGGTGTTTATTAGGGCAATGTTATTGTATATTGTCAGTTGTTTATACTCTACACAAATGAAATGCCAAATTAGGAACTGCAACACAGTGCGCTGTCCACAATTTTATCTCGTGTATGTGGAACAGGCGTACGCTGGGTGCATCATATACATTCAATGAAACGAAAATACATATAGGAGATTTATCTAAATCTAAACCGATTTTTGCAACATGAATATACATCACTCTAAACTCACCTCTGCTAAATTCCATGTAAATCGAACAAACATAGGCTCTTCGGTGCACCATTTAAATATTTGTCCGATTTAGACCAAAATTTGCGCAATGAACTGAATTAGGTCTAGATATACGATATATCTAGTGAGTAAATTGAAAACGCAAAACGCGTTTTGTGCAAAACCGATTTTGTTTGTATTTGTACCGGCCAATTAGCTCCACCACCTAAAAGTATTTGTAATTTCATGTCAAAAATCTACGCTAACTAATTAAAGATACAATCACACACACACACACGTTTTCCCATTTACACATTAAACATAAACCAACAATTTAATTAGAAAGTGAAAACGTTATCATATCATGATTATTTCTACATTTCAACTTATTTATTCAGATTTCACTGTCACTGCTACTCTCCTCACGCAACACACAACTCGTAATATGCACAATTAAATGTACATGTAATCCTACAACAAATACCGGACATGCCTGAACTTTGGTCAATGTCAGGTCAACTGAGAAATTTCCTGCAATAATCACAATCAAACGGAAATCGTTGTCATACTTCTACTGTTGCTATTGCTTCTGATGGTAGGTGGCAAATATGAAACCACACATGGCCAAAATTCTACGTAGAACTATCTAGAGTTCTGCATTAACCTCGTTTAATAAAACAAAGCAGACCCATACAAAAAAAATTAAAACAAAATGTCATAACACGCACAGCCTACACCTTCTGTGTGTAACTTCAGTTGTTGGCCAGACATGCCAGCAAATATAAAAAAAACAACAACCTTGTTAGAGGCAAGTTTCGCTTTTGTGGCGCAAAACCCGCAAATTTTGCCAATTTTGCAATAAAAATGCTATCAATAGAGAGAAGTTGTCATGTTGTGCATGAATGTGTGTCTGTGTGCGTGTGAGTGTTCTGAAACCAAATAACCGCTTTATTTGCGTTCATGTATGAGTGTGTTTGTATATGACCAAGAACAATAATGGAAGCCGGCATGCGTGTGTGTGTGTGAATAAAATATCAACAACAACATTGGCAACAAACGTCAAACATCGATATACCAAACCCTAAATATAAACACATCCATACACACACGCACACAACAAACCATATTTATATCCCCACACACACGCACACATACACACTCTCAACCACATAAAGTGGCGCGTGATATTTAAATTTTGCAAGAGCAAAAGTGTAAAATACGTGAGTGTTTCTCTTTACCTATTAAGCGAATAAACGATTTGTGTAAGTGTATTGAGTAATACTGGCTGGCTGAAGGGCTGACAGACAAACAGATAGACAGACAATGTTTTCGATTAACCTGCTGCTGCTGGCAAGTGTTTCTCAGTGTGGGCATGTAGTTGTACGTGTGATGACTGCCGAACATGCCGTAATTCTGGTGAATTGTTGGCTCAATGCAACAAAACAATAACAGACCGTGTGTTATACATTGTTAAAGCGTCAATTGAGCCTCCTCGTAACACACTCATACGCACATACATGACCACATACACACATTCTCATTCTCACACAATGTCGATTATACCACATGAACGGGATAATGCGATGTTCAACACCCATACACATACAGACACACACGCACACAGATCAACTAAACATTAGCCATGTAACTTTACACACATCCATAGATACATATTTATATTTTAGCCTTAAAACAAAATGAAAGAATAGACAAACACACACACATGCATCTAATCAATTGGTAAACGACTGGGTGTGTTCGTTCATTAGAACGATGTTCGTAACTATTTTTGTTAGATAGTTGTATCGTCGACACGCCAATAATGAAGCAACACGCAAAATTATTCAATCAATGTAAACATTCGATGTTACACAACTCTATCACAAATTTGCAGCTGTCATTACAAGCAGCTGTTTTTTGCCTGCATACCGGTATGGTGGAATAATGTTTATGCTTTACTTTATATTAAGTCTTTAATATATAATTACTGTGTGTAGGATAATATTGATTTATTTTTATGGCTTGGGAAAATGATTGCCAGATTGGGAAGGGTTATTCATTTTGTGGGTTCAAAAGAATGGGGCTGGAATTCGGCATGGCATTCAAAATTCCAGACACTCAGATTGGATTAGTACCTTGAACATACCAACAATCCTCAAAATGCCGTATTGTGGGGTTACTGTCATATGGGGGCTGTACCAAAACAGGGATCGATATTGATTTAGTTGTGAGATTTGACACACAATAAAAATCCAAAATGTGTACTTAAAGCCAATTGGGTTGAAAAACGTGCCTAACAAGTTCAAATTATAGAAAATTTGTGCATCGTTATACGATCAAGTAACTCGTTCGGGATACCCCGAAACTTGAGGCAATATTAATATTTTTGGTAGGGAGGTTGGCTATACATTGAGAACCCAAAACACCAGATTACAACCAATTCGGTTGGACAACGTGACCAAAACCCATAAATACATAATATGGGGGATAACGACATGTGGAGGCTATACCGAAACTTGAATCAATATTAATAATTTTAAGTACGGAGTTTCAATATAAATTGAGAACCAAAAATACTAAATTACAGCCAATTCGGTGTTGACGTTGCCCAACAACCCAAAATATCGAATATCGATATACTGCACGTTTTGGTGGAGGGTATAAAGACATATGGTGAAAACAAGTAATGTTTTGCGGAGTTATTCGAAATTATACACATGAACATGTTTAACAAAAACGACAAATCAAAAATTTTACTATCCGGAAAAAAGTGGACCGATATAGACAATTCTTAGTGTGTTGATTTGGTATCCAATAAGAACACAAAGTGCCGAATTACACCGATTCGGGGTACGGTTATATGAGGGCTATGCGTAAATGTTGACTGTATACCTCACTATCGAACTTGACCTGCCTGTTGACAAAAGACAAGTCTATGCCAAATTTATGCAACCTATCTCATTTCTTTTTGAGGCTAGAGTGGTTACAACAGTCAGACAGACGGATGGTACCAAATAACCATTTTATATGTAATTTATTTGTGTTTACTTTTGAACTTCGAAATGGAAACCCTATAATTTTCAAATCTGCAAAAAAATTCGACTGAATTCCAAATACATTTGTTTGGGCGACAATAAATTGTTTACATAAATTAATAAATTCATAATAAACAGTGGGTCTCCAATCACTATTGGTGTCTAGAATCTTAACTCCTTAAATCCAACCATACATATGGAATACACGATTTGTCACGACACATTGCTTGTATGATGCACTCATTTGCTGGATCACTGAAAATTGATATTGCCCATAAGCACCATTTCTGAAATCGTGCACTCTTCAATGGTCAAGTGACTCGTTTCCTTTTTCCAACAAAGAAAAAAGCGATTTCTTGTTCAGCGTAAATGTATTTTGCACCTGTTGTAGTGACGCCTACTTCAAACTACAACGATTACAAGTGCAAACACACTTAAGAGAATCACTTAGAAAAGGCCGATGGACACACTGAACAGAAAACACACAACCAGAGCGAATGCTGGCACAGTGTACCTGCCTAACCTCACATGTATAATATTCTCTTCTCACAATGATCTACGTGTTCCTGTTGTACCATAGCAATACAATACACTTCGAAGTAGCTAGTGTGGAGGTGTAATTACTGTCAATACATGGACGCTAGTTCGTTCGTATGTTCGAAGTTTGTTTGACAACATCTTCTCATGTTGTTTGATCTTCGATTTGCCACTTAACCATGTTATTACCAACGTTCACGGCTAATTGACAACGGAATGGATGGATGTTTAAAGGAATTTTATTAAATTGCAAACGATTTTCAGAGCAGAATTTAATTTATCATTTTGTATTAAATTAAATTGAGTTTAAAATCGTTTACAAAAAAAACATAACTTTATATTTTATTTAATAATGTATATTTGTGTGTTTTTTGTTTTCATTTACAGCTCCTACAGGTAAACCGATACCCACAGAAGCCCACAATACCTCATCCACCTCTGTATATATTTCATGGAAACCACCGCCGCCCGATACAATACTTGGAGAATTTCTCGGCTATCGTATTACATATAGACCACGCGATCGCAATCCCAATGACACAAAGGAGATTTACATACGAGATGCCACAATTGAGGTAAGTTGAAGCTGTAAAAAACTAAAATAATGTATTCAAGATAACAAATAATTTTGAAGCAGCGGTGATTATATAACTAACTGAAACATTAGTATTTTTAATTAATTATATTAAAATAGGTGTTCTGTTTGAAATAACTCGAAATATTCGTGGTAGACCCGATATATTGTTGATCAAAATAAAATCAATGTCAATAATAATACATAAATTGCTAGTACTCCTAGAAAATTTGTTATTGGAAATTGATAAATTAAATATATCACCGACGTTTTTTTATTGTGGTCTTACCTGTTCACAATCGAATTGGTTTTTAATAGATTTTCCAAATTCTTAGACAGACCTCTGACGACATTTTTCTATGTTTTGGTATAGTCTTAGTTTTCGATATTTTGTTTTAGGCCATAAACCATTGTAGGTTTAGATAGAGCTCCAATATACGTTTAATAATCCGATTTATGTAAATGGTACACGAAAGACACTCCGTCTAACCAATTGTTACGATATTTTATATAGCGTATCGTATCCGTTCCGCTGACTTATGACAGAACGGTTGTTCCATAGGCCGAGCTTAAAACAGATTTCCAAGTGGGTCGGTCTTGTGCGCATCTCACCCATTTTCCGAGATGTTGTCTTCTACTTGATCTTTCCATTGGATTTGTAGCGTTCCACTTCTTCGTAAATCATCACTTGGCTTGGTTTTATATGCCTTGTGAGCTGGGGTCGCTGCAGCTCAATACGTCTGACGATGTCGATGTCCGAGAATAGATGGTATAACCCATGGTTCATTCGACGGCGATATTAACCGTCGGCATTGACCCACTTTGCAGGACTCCATCTCAGTTTATGAAAGGTGTCTGTTACCGCTCTTAATGTGCGACCCATTATGTCGATGTAATCGGCGTAGGCGAGTAACACGTGTTGTTTGGTATACAAAGTGTCATTTCTGTTCACCTTTGCCTCTCGTATGAAGTTTTCCAGCAGGATGTTAAAAAGGTCACACGATAAACTATCACCTTGTCTGAATCCTCGTTCGGTTTTAAAGGGCTCTCAATGTTCAACCAACTTTCATGTCATCTGACCTTGTGCCAAAGTTGGTATGGTCCAATAATGTCATTGACCATTGGCTTTAGTCGTTCATACAACACGCTGCATAGCACTTTATGTGCTTTTGCAAGGCATTCCTTATTCCAAATGTACTAACCAGCTAGTGCATGTTTTTGGCACATATCGTCTTTAATAGTTCGGCTGGTAATTCATTGGCACTTGCTGCTTTATTATTCTTCAGCTCATTGATTGCTACTCGGACCTCATATTTGCTACATTGGTGGTATACACTCTATACCGTCATCTCTTATTGTTAAACGGGACTTTTTTGTGTAAAATCGCAAAATATGTTTATCATGACGTATATTTTTCCACCGGAAAAGCTGACCTATACTTAGATGCACACCCTAGTAGAGGTACATATTCTAATATGCAATAACGTGCAAGATAATGTAAATATCAATAAAAATTGCCAGGCGTGAGATTTAGATTCGCAGAAATTTAAATTTCAATGGCGGTTGGGTAGGGCAACATAATCTCGACTGCTCCACATTAGTTTTAGTTTAATATTAAACTAGGATCAATTTAATATATTTTTATGTGAATTATTTTATAAATAGATATTTCCCCACATTAATAATGCCATGATACACCCACCCCCACTTTAAACTTATCCAACACATTATGTCAAATAGTGACATTAAAAGTTTCGACAATTTATAAAATGCAAATGTGTGCTGTAGTTGGTCGGGCGGCATAACTAATGCGTCTTTAAACTTGGTCATTTGCATAAATTTGGCAAAATCATTTTTAATTCATTGTCTGACTAAATAATTAACAACACGCACTCAAAGAAGTTTCTTCAGAAATATTAATGGAAGCCTGAAAGTGGAAGCAAAATAGTAAGCTCCCTGTTTAAAAGAATTTCCATGTTATTTTAAATACCTACATATGCATATACTTATTTTAATGTTCTTCTTGTCAAAAGAAAAGTTTCTAATTTAGGCCCATTTTGAAAATAAACTCAAATTTCTGTAAAGATATTTACAGACTCATTTGCTAGTTGTTGTTGCCATTTTACAAAATTTCTCAGGAAAATCTTTTAAAATCATTTAAAACTATTTTTGCCACTACAGTTCTCTTCACAAATATTTTGCAACCTTCCTTAACTGCCCTCTTTCCTCGCACCCCCGCACCCTCATCATGGCACTCTGTGCTAAGTTATCCGTTTCCTTTTTATCCCAAAAACAAACCGTATAGACAGACAATTTATGAACATATTTTTAAGTTAAATATGCTTGAAAAGTTTCTAGGCACTTAACATTAATGAGTAGTTTGTACTCTTACCGTTATGGTATATTGCATATGTATGTGTATGTCTGCGTGTATGTATATATCTGTATATAGGTGAATGGGTCTGACTGGCTGCAAATTGTCGTTTTCCCCAAAAGTCATATGTGATGTTTCATGTGGAGAAGGAAATTGCAAATCGTAACTGTGAATGGTGGAGTGAGCTCACTTGTGTGTGTGTGGGTGGGTGGGTGTTATTAGACTGAAGTGTCTGTGCTCTACACGACTACACATGTATATAAACCAAATATAAACGCCATTATCTCTTGTGAATTATTAAAAATTATATAATTTCATTTCTGTTTCAAAGTTAGGCTAACAGTTAATCCTTAAGTGCTGCCAAAAACAACAGCAGTAAAAAGAACTTTCAAATTATTTTAATAACAGTCATGGCTAATAGTGTGAAAATGTATTTATGAGCGTCAAATAAAATAAGAAGGGGCAGGACCCATAAGAAGGATAATTTTGTGTCAAAAAATCTAATAGATATTAGCTCTGAAAGCTTTCTATAATCTTATTTAGAACACATACAATGCGAAGAGAACATTATATTACTTATTGCATCCTCTTTCTCAATTTTCACATATAATCCTCGCAGAAAGTATTAGAGTAGATTATATTTGAAATAAGATGCACATTTCACATTATATATCGACGAGTCAACATTTAGGGAGATCTTCAGATTTGTGAGTGTTATCCTTAAAAATTGTAGTTATTTTCAGTCATTTGACGTCATTATTTAAAACATAAAAATAAAAAACGGCATGATGTAACATCGGCTTGGTGTTTTCCTCCATTTATCCACCTTCTATAATTCTTCCTTACAATTCCTAAATAATAATGTCTTTGGAATTTCTGGGAATTAAAACCATATCCAAACCTGCTCTATATCGTACGGAATGCTATATATTAGGTTGGGGAAAAAGAAACCCATTATGAAAATGTCGATAAAAATTGACCGGCATGTTAGCAGTCGTAACATCGCCCAGGAGCTAAAAATCGACAACAAAACTGTTTTATACTATTTACACAAAGCTGGATTCAAAAAGAAGCTCGATTTTTGGGTACCATGCAAATTAAAAACCAGTAAGGAAAGTAGTAAAGTCGGACGGGGCCGACTATATGATACCCTTCACCACTATGGGTATATTAAACAGGACTATTAGCATGAACTTGAATGAAATAAAATATGTGATATTTATCTAAATGTGAATCTAGTAGATCTATCCATAAAGTATGTAAATCGACTTCAAACAAATATAAATAGGTCATCCGTTGGGCTATGTCTGTACTTCTAGAAAACGAAACTACATAATTCTATGCTCAATTTTGTACGTTGTGCAAAATTTGATGTCAAACTGACTAACATGAGGAGTTTGATGCGCAATTTACTTGAAATCGGGCCAAATATTAAGCGATTTCAAACAAACTTGTCACAGGATACGTTATACTAATTTCAGAACGTTTTGTTCCTATTGGTTCCTTGGTGCGTCAAGTACTTAAAATCAAACTATAATAAAAGTGAGCTATATCTAAATGTGGACCGATTTTCACGAAACAACGCAGACATCAATCTAGGCTCAATTCAGTACGTTATGCCAAATTTCGTGCAAATCGAAAGATATATAGGGACTTTGGGGTACCATTTACATGAAATCGGACGAAACTATATATGGGAGCTATATCTAAATCTGGACCGATTTTCACAAAACTTTACATACATCATTCTAGACTTAAGTGATTAGGCTGTACCAAATTTCGTGCAAATCGAAAGATATATAGGGACTTTGGGGCACCATTTACATGAAATCGGACGAAACTATAAGTGGGAGCTATATATAAGTGGGAGCTATATAGAAATCTGGACTGATTTTCATAAAACTTGGCAGACATCCTTCTAGGCTCAATTAAGTACGTTATGCCAAATTTCGTGCAAATCGAAAGATATATAGGGACTTTGGGGTACCATTTACATGAAATCGGACGAAACTATATATGGGAGCTATATCTAAATCTGAACCGATTTCCACGAAACTTTACATACATCATTCTAGACCTAAATGAATAGGCAGTACCAAATTTCGTGCAAATCAAAAGATATATAGGGACTTTGGGGCACCATTTACATGAAATCGGACGAAACTATATATGGGAGATATATCTAAATCAGGACCGATTTTCATGAAACTTGGCAGACATCATTCTATGCTCAATTAAGTACGTTATGCCAAATTTCGTGGAAATCGAATGATATATAGGGACTTTGGGGCACCATTTACATGAAATCGGACGAAACTATATATGGGAGCTATATCTAAATCTGGACCGATTTTCTCTAAACTTGGCAGAAATCACTCTAGGCTTAATTCAGTACGTTATGCCAAATTTCGTGCAAATTAAAAGATATATAGGGACTTTGGGGCACCATTTACATGAAATCGGACGAACCTATATATGGGAGCTATATCTAAATCTGGACCGATTTTCCCGAAACTTGGCAGACATCACTCTAGGCCTAATTCAGCACGTTATGCCAAATTTCGTGCAAATCAAAAGATATATAGGGACTTTGGGGCACCATTTACCTGAAATCGGACGAAACTATA